AAACGTTTTAGTTCTGCATAAGTAATGCAAAACACACAGTGAAGAAAATCTGTGTTTTACCATTCTTACCTTCCTGCTTTATCAAATTTATCACACCTATTTTTGTTATCACAAATTTATCAGTTCGGTAAATAAGTGATACAGATCTCTGATAAAGTTACAAGGCTCACCAGCATAAACGGCGAATACCGTCCTCCAGGAGAATGCCTTGATAAGTGCCTCACTGATCGGAGCAAATAAGACAGTTCCGACACCGGCGCCACATACTGCTATGCCAGTGGCCATCGCTCTGAAAGCAGCTCGAATTTTTGCCCACTTAGACAAAAATGACAAAAAAAAAGTTGAAAAAGAGGTCCATATTACAATCTAAAATCAGACTTCCGCAAATTCCTCTGTCTCTGAATTTGAAACAACTGCTAATTTCTAGCACTTTTGCCTGTAAATGCGTATTTGGCCACTCTTCATCTGGTTAAACCAATACTGCTTCACCTATTAATCATATCATTCACAGTAAAATCTGTTTTAGCTTACAGATCCGAACAGTCAGGACAACGCAATAAAATATAGGCATAAATTCGAATTTGAAAGCTTCGAGCAGGCCTATTTCACACAGCTACTCTAAAATGATAAAGACCAACAGCAACCAAGCCAGCGAATATGACCAAGAAGCTCGGTGATAATAGTCAGTTAAAAAATCACATTGTCTATGTGCGCCACTACCTTCTTTGTAAGCAAATTCGAAAGAGGGAGCCATCGACAGCCTCACCAGCGGATAGTTGCTGTTGGCATTTTGGTACCTTCCAAATACTTTCTCCCTCTGCTTCTCATAGAGGGTGAACACGGGGAGGGTTTTGATTTTTTCCCTGACGTATTAAAGCCATTTATGTGTAGCAGCTACTCTTCTAATAGCCCGTCCAGCCAAATGAATGAGATAAGCGTGCCTTTTCTTCTGTATAGGATTGCAGTGTCCTCATGGCAGGGTAAACCCAGGCTGGAACGCACCAGGCGGGCCGGTGCGATTATGCGTTTTTGT